TCTGCCTTTTAATTACCGTGGTTGGAAACAATTGCAGAATTACGAAGCGATGGCTGTAAATTTCTCTTTTGAAACTTGAATGCTCCATTTCTGACTTCTCCCCTGGCTAACTGCTAAAAGATCACAGCGTTTTAATGATGCCTGCTCCTGTCGCTTCCTCCAACTAATGAGGTGTCAGTGGTGTTAGGGACGGGGCCAGGCTCTGAGCTGCAGCCCATGTCCGTGCCCTGCTGCTGGGTCTGGGGGCAGCTGGAGGAGGCTTGGTGCCCGAGCCAAGGGCCATGGTGCTCCTCCTGGAGGGCTGCTGCTCAAATTCAGCTCTAGACTCCTCATCCAGACCCACTTTACTGTGGTGGTGGGTGCTTGCAGGGGATTTCATCCCAGCTTCATCCCGCAGAAGTCACCGTGTGCCAACTGTGCCCAGAAATCCCCGCTCCAGGAGCTCCGTGCCGTGCACCTTTTAGCCAGGCTGGTGGCAAACACCTTGCGACGCGTATCCATTATCCCAGATTCGCTTCATGCACAAGACTTGTGTTCCTTCAGCTAATCCACCTCCCCGGCTTGGCACGGCTCACTTTCAGTTGCAATATTGCGTGTCTCAGAGCAGCACTACACACGAGTTTTAATTGCACTACAGAAGTGACTTTCTGCCAATAGTTCATTAGGCTTCATGAATGCTCAGACTGAAGAATGGTCTCTCTGGATTAGCATCATCTTCCAAGACACCCTTCTTGTTGGAGCGCTGTCAGATGAATTGATAAAAGAATATTTCTGGATTGAGCAAAAAAAAATGGACTGGTGGGGGGGAGATGCGGCAGTCCTGAGGTTTCCAGACAAATGAGCAAAAGCCGGGGAAAGCGGTAATTCTGCATTCAGGACGTCACAGGCATGACAGTGCCTTGGAAAGCCTAGATTAAAAAGGAGCTATTTTTCTTCTGGAAATAGGAAGACGGGATTTGGTGCCAGTCAGGAGCAAAGCCTACCTGATTCGGGCAGGACGCTCAGTTCACCGAAGCACTTTCTCCAGGAGGCAGAGCGCAGCCCAATCGATAGCCAGACCCCAGCGGCAGTGGCAGAAGCGTTTCAAACAGTGCCCGGGGTAATTAACTCGGAATTACCAGGTGCATATTTTCAAGACTTAAACAGGATTTAGCAGAGGGTTTCGTGCAGCTACGTGTCTGGACACAGAGCTCTCGGTGGCCCCGGTGTGCAGGGCAGGGCGCTCGGTGCCGCTGCGAGGGCTGGAGGTGATCCAGCGGTGCAGACACCTGGAATAACCTCTGGAAATAGGGTTTAGGCTGTAAACCTCGTTTTCGGCTAGCTCGTAAGTGCTGCTCATCCTGGGAGATAAGTCATTCCACGCCTGTCTTTAAAAATGACTGGCTCAGCTATTGTCTGCATAAAATCACCTTTGTTTATAGTGCATTCCGTAATGGATCAAGCGGCAGAGTAAAATTTAAATAAGTAATTATTGTGCAGGAGGCACACGCTAAATGGAACGATTTCCCTGGCTGCGGTGCCCTTTTGGCTGCACTCTGAGCACAAGATAACTCCCTGGGGTCTCTCTGTAATCAGGTGGGTTCAAACAGGCAGATTTTGGCAGCTCGCACACCTTTGCTCTTTGAGCACTGTTGCCGTTCCAGATCTGCCTAAGCAAGCTAAAATATCGGCTAAATTATTAACTCAAAAATAAATAAAGAAGGAGAAGAAAGAGAGAAAGGGAAGAAACAAGCCATGGGCTTAGATGTCCCTTTTGTTTTTAACTCCGAAAGGCAACAACTCCAGAAACTGGGCTTGGGTTTTGGTCCCAGTAAATCAGTGCAAGCATTTCGACCCGCTGCCCCTCCCCAAAAAATGGACTTTCTGAGAGCCATTGGCACTTCTTCCGGAGCCAGCAGGTGGAGCTTTAAGAATAGCATCCCTTCCCAGCCCCATTTGTGCTGGAGCCCATTGAGTGGGAGCTATCTGTGCTGAAATTCTGATTGAATAAAAATTGTTCATTATGCACAGTGTCTGGTTCAGTACACAGAGGCAGCCCCCAGGCGCAGACCCCAAGTAGCTGCTTTCTCTTTCCCCAGATTAAAACATATGAACTGCTTTGATGTAATCTTATAACAAAGCCTAATGGAAATTTTATATCCTCTGAAGTTGACTGTCATTTCTCATTGCCCTGCTTCCTCTGTCCTATTAATACTCCAGTCCAGAGAGCCGTAGCCGAACTTGTGCTCTTTTCACTCTCAACCACGGTACGCTTCCCCTTCCATGTTTAAGTTTTTATTTACGTTTAAATACTGTTATATTACATTACAGTATGTTTAATCCCTTGTTTTTTTCTATAGCTATTTGTCATTTTAATGGAATGCTGCAGAATATTGCATTGTACAATGTGTTTAAATTGATAAATTGTATTAGAAAAAAAATATTGGATAGGAATTTTAATGGTAAGTGGGGCTTTAGTAGATATATTTTCTCATTAGTAGACTAACTGCACACAGACAGCATGAGGCTGGAATGTTAAGGATTTTGGGATAAGCAATATTTATGACTTATTTGACTAATTAAGGCATAATTTTATCATAAAGTTTTTCCCAGACTTTGCTGAGCAGGATGAAGGAGGAAAACTTGCCCAAGTGCAGTTACTCTACAACATCAGTTGCCATAACAACTTCATGCAATACTATATTTTTACTTGAAATTCCTTTTAAGACTCAGTTGCTGTAATAATTTGTTTCAGCTGCTAAAAGGCATGTTTCTCTTTGTGGTGGTTTCAAGGCTCTCATTACAGTAACAAAAAAGTGGCTGTGTTAATATAGACTCTTTTCATTTCAACATATGCAAAAGTTCAATAGACTCCAAAAATAGAATTAAAGGGTGGAGGTGATGAATCTGCTATAAAATCTCTTCCAGTCTTTAGGAAAGAGGAATGGGCTTAGCCGGTGAAGGTGAACTTTATTAACAGCCTTAAGGAGAGATGCTGCTACTGCTCTGTACCCACAATTATTGCACCCGATGGCAAGCTAGGAAAAGCAGCTTCACGACGTGTGTCCTGCTGCCTGGCACCAGCCTGAACCGTGTAACCCAAAAGGAGGGTGAAGGATGTTTCTGGCCCCGGAGAGGGTTGGGGTCAGCCTTGTGCCCCCGGTGCTGCTGCTGCTGCTTGGCCCGCAGCCGGCTCCGCTCCTGGGGCATCTGCCTGGGAGGAGGAGAAGTCGGCTCCTCCTGATGTACCTGCTGCTTTAATTCATTCAATAATCACCTCACACCGAATGTATATTGTCTACTTCTGGCCACAGGCGTACTGGAAGTGTAAAAACAATTTTCAGGCAGCCTGGAATGTCGTCTGATTTCTGATTCCGATGTTAATTCAGCGGAAGGCAAGGAGTGCATGATGAGAAAGGTGCTCGCTTCTGCTTTTAACCCTTTCCCCCGGCTTTTGTGAGTGCTGCTGGCTCCCAGGAACAAGCCGTGCTGTAGCTGCCCTGCCCGTTGAGCCATTCCTGCTCTGTTCTGAGTCCCCCATCTGGCTTTTGGCATCTCACAGCCGAGGCAGCAGCTCCTCAAACAAGTTCTTGTTCTAGTTCAGCATATGGACCCTGCTTCTACTGGTGCCAGGCAAATAACAAAGTTTTAATCGGTTTGGTTAATCGAGGCAGCCAAAATAGGGCTTCTTTTTCACAGTCCCCAGGCTCCTGGGGTCGGTGGAGCACGGTGACATCTCCTGGTCCTGTACCCAGGCGGTCCTTAACCTGTGGGCAAAGCACAGAGAGGAGGGGACTCGCTGTCTCCAGGTCTGACTGGGGATCTGAGCTGATTTTTGGCACTGCCCACGTGGGTCATGGCTGATAAAGCCCCGGGGGAGCAGATCCTGCCTGGCTTTGGGGTGATGAGCACCTCTCTCTGTCCAGCACATGGGATTCCTTCAGCCAGGGCATGCAGGAGCCCACACCGACCTCTGCTCCCTCACTGCAGTGGCGAAAAGACATCACACCTCTTAAAATCCTTGCAGGTCCCACCACCCGGTCACTCTGAAGTTATTCTGAGCTCTGCTCTGTCATTTTACAGAATGAAGGTGTCCGTTTGGATCCGTCTTCTGCCAGCATTTCTGATTGTCTGCTTGCTCCTGCATTCCTCCCCCCTCTCCCTTTTCCGATCCCGGTTCTTTCTGCTGAATTACGAGGGTTAAACCAGTGGCATTTTGCATCTGTTCCCTCTGACCAGTTCCGCCTGTGACCCTTGGATTTTTAATAACGGCAGAGATGATGGTCATTTAATGCAGCCCCCTGCCTGCAGCATAATCTTCATCAAGGTTTTCCGGTAGCCTCCCTCAGGCAGCTTATCTTGTTGCTTAATTGTCTTTATGCTTCCTCACAGCTTCCTATTTTAACCGTATTTCCCTCAAACTGCAGCCGCGTTTTGGTCCTGGCTCAGGAGCGACCCCCTTCCAGCTCGGTGTCTGTCAGCCCTGGCTGTGAAATTTGGGCTGGGCAAATTCTTTTGGGTGAGTAGAGATGATAGAAAAGGGCATGTCTCACCACGAAAGATGAATCATTCTTTTGCCTTTTACTCCTTGTTGTAGTAACATTACTCCTGAGGAATTTTCTTGCTATTTATGTGATTGTCACATGCGATTCCATCAGAATTACAAAGGAATTCAGCACGAATTAGTGGCCACTTAACGTTGCAGAAGGCTGCAATGTAAATGTACTCCATGATCTCATCTACAACTCAGTCCTTAGCGGATGCTTCAAGGTAGATTTTTTTTTTTTTTTTTTTTTCTAAAGTGGCCATAAATTGCAACCAGTCATTGGACTCCTTCCAGTCCTACAGCAATTACTGGGCCAGTTCAGCTGAAGGGTTTGATCAGGTGTTTTACTAGCAGGATTTTATTTCACTAAATGAACATCTCCTGAAGAACCGGGAATGTAATATTTACACGTTAAAGTGCTGCTGTAATGGCACTGCATTTAACTTCACTAGGAGACCAGGAATCCCGTGGTAAAATGCCTGATAACTGCTGCATTTACCAGGGGAATGAATTTATAGCGGTTGAATTCCTCCAGCAGAACAAAGGGCTGCATTATGAAAGCACCCTCGTCATTCTGACAAAGGTTGGAGCCGGTCTTGATTCTTCCTCCGGCAGAGGAAGGCGTTGCTTTGCGTCGCAGTGGCTGGAAATATTTTGGCTACCGGGGTGGGATGTTGTCCTTCTGTCTTGCCCACCGCGGGCTGTGTCTGACTTGGTGTAGCTTGGGGAATCCGGGAGAGGTTCTCCAAGGGAAGCGGTGGATGCAGGTGGGACTGAAATCACCCGCAGCAGCTCCTGTGCCACGGCCACGTGCCCAAATCCGCCCTCATGCCACCCGTCCCCGTGCCCAGATTTCGGGACAGCGCTGTGCCACCTCTGCTGCTCGCTCCTGTTAGGCACCTCTGTATAAAAAACCCGGGGTTGGCCGCGCAGCTCCTCTCTCCCTCTATTTTCTTCCGCCGGTATTAATAGTAGCTAATTATTGCTTTTACTATTAGGTCATGTGTTGTAAATACACTAAATGCAGAACGCATCCCGCGCTTGCCGGCTCGTGTGTTAATGCCTATATTCTGCCTCGTAACACGCAGCCTAATTGGCTGCTGGCGCTGCACTGCCTGACACGCCGCTTTTTGGGATAATTGCTCCCAAAGTCTCAGCATTTCAATGCGGGCGCTATTACACCATCTCGCTAAAAATCCTTCCAAACCCAACCTCAGCCCCAGCCCAGCTGGGGTGGTGTCAGAGCTTCCTGGCAGAAGCAGGGGGCTCTGTGCAGCCTCTCCCCCCCCTCTGCAGCTCGGTGGGTTGGGGTTTTTGGGGTGCCCCCGCTGCCGTTGGCGCGCTGCTTGCATCCGTGGGTGGCAGCGGGATGAGTCCCTGCCAGCCCGGTCACCAGTGAAGAATCTTTTTAATTATCCAAGTGGTGGTAAATGCCTGCTCTTATTGGTATGTGCATAAGCTGTAACTTTGCTAATTCTCATCTTTAATCTCTTTGGGCACAGCTGGATGCCTGCGCTCCTCGGCGCTGCCTTTCTGCAGCGCCTGGAGGACGCGGGCTCCCTGCCCTCCGTGCCCGTCTGGATGAGTTCCCCCAGCAAAAGGGCTTCGGGGCTTCTACCCCAAAAGCACTTGCGGGTTGTTTGTGAGCATAATGTCACGCCAGCCTCATGGGAGACGTGTGCCCTGCTCAGTTTCAAGCTGCGCAGCGCTGCGAGCCTCCCAGGTGCGATGTTAGTGCTGATTTTGCCTTTTCCTTCACTTCCCATCTGGGAGCTGGAGCAGAGCAGAGCCCGGCTTTGCCGTTCGCAAGGAGACTGTCTCCTCTACCCCGTGTGCTGACGGCTCCAGGAGAAACGCTCGTGTTTCTCGAGGGACCCCCTTCCCCTCCCAGGCCAGTAGTAGAGCTCCTTTGCGGAGGGAGAGCCCGATGGCCTCAGTTCATCAGCAGGCGGCTGCGGTACCCAGGACGTGCACGCTCAGCTGTGCTGCTGCAGAAGAGCGAATCCTCCCTTCCACACTCTCGAGCAGAGCAGAACATATGTGCCGTTACCTCTTAATTCTTCTGTGGAGCATTAGGACTAATAAAACCTTCCAGGGCGTCTGATGGCAGAAGCAGCTGATGTTGCGTGCTGAGGAAACAAAGGCTGGTTGGGAAAAATAAAAAATAAAAACAACATCCCCAGCATCTACTTCTTCCAGTAACGGGGAAAAAAAAAACCGTGTGACCCCTTCCCATGGCAAGTGACACGAGTTGCTTGGCTAATTGCACTGGGCCTTCATACCTGGGCGGTAAGGAGGGACTGGAGCACCAGCGTACCCTTTAAATAAGAGAACATTTCAACGTCACTGCTTTCATGTTTGTCTCCTCGCTTCTAATTACTGAAGGCAGCTGACTTTAAAGCATAGGCCATTTCCTCCTCTTCCTGCAGCGGGGTCATAACAGCTTGTTTATAGACGAGCGGGCTGGTTCGCTGCAACAGATTGTGACTTTAAATAGAAGGTTGCTAAGAGTGAGGTAAGGGCGGTGAGAGCATCAGGCTGGCTCCAAACAAGTCGCTTGGTATTTGGGGAGAAGGGAGCGGCCAACAAAAGAGCGGCGAGGGACGAGCAGTTGTCTCCAGCAGTTGCCATAAGGCGTGTGCGAAGGTAGGTATGTCCTTTAACCAAGTGTGCTTGAGCCAGCCGTGTCCTGGGGAAACCTCTCCCTGTTTTTTTTTTTTTTTTCCTGGAAGATCTCACGAGACGGCAGCGTTACTGGTTATTTATTCATCCTGAGCAAAATGCCAATAGCTCCTGTTTGGCGTTGGGCTGAATATCAAAAAAGTTGATTCATTGACTTAAAAACAAAACAAAACCTACACTGGACAAATGCTAGAAAACATGTGTTGGTAAAGAGGTGGACTGAGTGATGAACATATTTTCTATCTCTTGTATCTCTGACTCATACGGCCCCAGCTTAGTGCAGATTTTATTATCTTATCAAACAATTAATTACCTACATCCTTTAATTTCATATATATACAGTTGGAGATTGTTGTTTTTGTCTTCAAGTGCCTCTTATCCTCCCCAGTAGACTGTTGCTGCTAAATAGAAGGGATTATTTTCTTGGTGGCCATGCCAGATTTATTTATACTGCTAAGCCTGCTCTAGGAATTGGGGTGAAAAAGACGACCAGACTATCAAATTCAGCTTACCCCCTCGGATTTAGTCCCTGGCAAGGCTTCTGCTGAAGTCTTGGAAGGAAAAAATTCATTAGATGAACCTTAGCATGATTTTTCCGTGGCTTTGATTTTAATCAAAGTGCGGGCTGGAAATTGTTTTATCATTAGGATCTGTTGACTGAATGTCAATGCGAGGCGGTTACCCCCGCCTGCCCCGACTCGTGTACAGACGCATCCTGTGTGCTTAGGTAAATCCCAGGCCGGGAGTGTGGAACAGCAAAAAGGGCAGAAATTAGCCTCTAAGGCTTGCAAATGCACTGCAGGCTGATGTCTTCCTGCATTTCAAGGACCTAAGTTCAATTGCAGCACGGTTATTCTGCCTGTCCATAATGGGCTAGCTAATCAATTAAAACGGTCCCTTCTTAAACCCTTGCAGGAGGGAAGCGTGGTGCAGAAAAACCGCCCGCAAGGTCCGCAGGCTGCGGGTTAAACACCGCAGCTTTTTATCCCCAGATCTGCTGAATCAAGCCGGTGTGTTTTACCCAGGTTGCTGGGAGCACAAAGAAGAGAGGCGCTGGTGGAGCTCTTTAGTAGGTTGCCGAGCGGTGTTTGTGCATACGGCGCCGGAGCTTGTTCCCTCCGAAGACCAATTTACACAAGCCCCAGTGACTGCGGCGAGCCTTTAACTCCCAAACCTCGGGGCTGCAGCTCAGCATCCTTGCAGAAGACACTGCTGGGATCCTCAGGGAGCGCTGGAGGAGGGCTGGCCACGCGCCGGCCCCGCTGTACGGAGGAAGGAGCCTGCCGGTGTCGGAGCCGGCGTGCCTGCGCTTTCCGTAACGCTCGCTGATTAAATCCACCGCGGGTGTACGCGGCTGAATTTTAAAGAGCCTCGCTTTCCAGGTCAGCGCAGCGACTAGCTCAGCCCCAACTTCCTTGTGAATGGGAAATAGGAAGGGAGCGGGAGGCTTTGCGTGGTGGAGGCCGATAGGGTCTGGTGCCTGCGCATCCTCGGGGTGAGCTAGCGGCCACGCAGGCAACCCCCTACCTGGTGACACGGGGCCAAAACCCACTGCATGGCAGGCAGGGATTTTCATCGCTGGCTGGAAGGAGCAGGTCAGCGTGCCCTGCTGCCGGGACCAGTATAAACCAAGAGCAATCAGGCTGGAATTGGTGGGGACAGAGGTGCCAGGGGTGGCGCAGGAGCGAGGCGACGCCAGATCCCGATGGCACGATGCCTGCGCGCTGCATCCTGCCTGCAGCCCAGCTCTTCCCGCAGCAGAGGAAAGTAGGTCAGCACCAGGTTCCCCGCCTGCCGGCACAGGCACTGGATTACGCGCCCGCATCCCGCAGCGGGAGCGGCTGCGGTGTTTTTCCTCTGGGAAAGTGCACGGAGAAGCAATTCGGCGCGGCGCGGCGCTGGCTGGAGGCCACGCTGCGTTAGTTGCTGCAACCCCGCTGCTCGGGGGGCTCGGAGCCCCGTCCGCCCCCAAATATCGAGGGGAATGCTGCCCCATGCAGCAGGGCGGTGTTTTGGGAGGGCTCACAGGGTGCTCTCGGCCCCTGCCCATCCCCTGAAGGTCCGATCCCGTGCGTCTCCGCGCCTCGCCGCGGCCGTGAAGCTCCAGTTCTACTCGAATGATTACCCGACACGTTAATTGGGACTCCCGCTATGATTAAAAAGAAATTTCAGATTAAGCCCGCCATGCTGTGTAGCTCGGGAAGAAAACATCTCTTTATAAACACAGCGGGAATGCGGGGACTCCATTATTATTATTATTTTTTTCTAACTTTGAAGAAACTGGCTCTCGCCGCTGCTTTGACCACAAGGAGACAAGTGCGGCAGCCACTCGGCTACGGTCGAAGCTGAGCGGAAGGGATGCTAGCAGGGAGATAAAATTGCAGGGTGTTTTTCCTCCTTTTTTTTTTTTTCCCTTTCTTAAATCCATTATGATTATCACATTATCTCTGCAGACCTCAGATCCTGTCCGCCTGGGTCTCTGCAGGCTGAGGCAGAGCTCGGAGGAGCCCGCAGGCTGCGGGATGGGCGAGCGTGGTGGCGAGCATCCCTGGGGACCGTCCTCATGTCAGCGCCACTCAGGTTTGGGGCCTGAGCTGCCGTTTTGATGGGGACGGCACCGACTGCCAGGTGAAGTGTTGCGAGGCCTCACACGCTGTAAAACTATTTGCTCTGTTTATTTTTGACGTGGAAGGCTGTAACGGAGCTCGCAGCCAAAATCTAACCCTCCTCCACAAAACGCTGCCTTCGGCCGCGGAATATCCTCCGCGAAACCACGTCTTCCTTCACGCATGAATTTTTTTGTCTTCTTCTGTGAATCTTTCTGCGTGCAGGGTTTTAGGAGAGAGCCCTGCCACGGACCCCAAGCAGCTGAGCTCGCTGCGAGCCGGGGGCGCAGGGAACCTCCCGCATCGTGGAGGGAGCTCAATACCCAGAGCAAGAAACGTGGTGGGTCTGCAGGATCCTGGCCCTGCGTTTACTCCGTGCTGGACTCGCTGAATCGCCAGGCAAGGGCAGCGCTGGATTATCCCCCGCGCCCCCTTCTTCCTTATAAACTCCCCTTCTGGTGTTCCAGCCAGAGCAGCATGAGGCGAGTAAACTCTGCTGCTCAAATGAGAGTGGATAAGCTCAGTTTACTTGCATTTATTCATGACTTCACCACTCCACTGGGGCCTGCAAAATCAGAGCCAAAAGGAACTGCAGCGAAAATTGGCCTACATGTGACGGCTTTAAATAATCTGCCCTTTTGCTCCAGTTCTGTGTTGAGATGTGCTGGAAGCCTGAGGAGCTGGGAGCTGGCTTGATGTAGGAGCTGCGTTTTGTTTTCTTGCTCCAGTGTTTGAAGCCGCCTTTGGTTTCCTGCACACGGAGGAACTCGGGGAAAGTTGCGCAGCCGGGGAAACAAAAACCTATTTAAGAATTCCCGTGTTTAGTGCACGGCTTGAAATTATGGGAATCGGCACAGGCAGTGGATTAGCTCTTAATTCCACAGACGTGAAAAATAAGGAAGAAAGCAAACAGAAATAAACTGATTAGTGCACATTCCCAATATTGACACCCAGGAACAGGGCGGTGTGCCGGGGCTAGAAAACACTCCCTGGGAAGCTGGCAGGAGGACGCTCTGCATTAAAAGCTGGCTTCTTGCTTGTGCTTGCATTGTGCAAACAGATGCAATTCCCAGGGGACCCCAGGGACGCCTGCACCAGCCGGGGGGGCCACCGGGGAGCCGGGCGCTGCCGGGCTGAGCGAGGCTCCGCTTTGGCACCCGAGCAGAAACAGGAGTGAGTGGCTCCGTCTGCAAACCAGGTCACCGCTGCTCGTGCGCGTGTTCTCTTGGGCCCCCTTGAATCACATCATGATTCCTCTTCCCCCCCCCCCCCCCCAGCTCCCAGCAGCTGGGATTACTTTTCACGTGCTGTGCTCGCATAATTGCATCTAATAATTTCGCAACTGCCTTTCCTTCATTCTTGAGTCACGTATGACCGCCTTTTCTTTTTTTCTTTTTCTTTTTTTTTTCCTCTTTATGTGGCTGCACAGCCCCACCCCAGCCTGCACGAGTGCTCTCCTGCCTGCTTCTCCTGCGCTGTTGCCTCCTGTGTCACTTTTCCACCCAGGTTAGATGCACAGAGGAGGACGGACCCGCAGAGGAGGAGATGCTTTAAAGCAGGGCTGCTGCCCGTGCTTACTACCAGGAAAATAAACACAAAACCACCAAAAATCTTGGGTGTTGCTGCAGCCCGGAGCATGCTGGTGGTGCTCGTGGTGCCCCCAAAAGGGGCATTTCCCAATTTCGCTCTGCAAAAACCCCGTTGCAGCCGTGCGATGAACCTGGCGGTCCGGGTGCCGCCGCGCCAGCTCGTCGGGTCAGGCTGTTAGCCTCCCGCGGTATATTTAGTTCAGGTTTAGCAAGGGCTCGGCGTGCCTGTGTTCTCCTGTCTCCTTCACTTTCGACGTGCTAAGTAGATGCAGGAAGGAGCCGAGAAGTCTGCCCGCCGCCGCGAGGATGCGGGAGCGGTGGCAGCCCGCGCTGCGTGGCGATGGGCTTGGGGTTTTTGGTTGCTTGGTCCTCGGGATCCTTGGGCAGCCCACGCACTGGAAGTGTCACTCTGCTTTTCCTTTTTTATTACTATATTTTTTTTTTAGAACGGGGTTAATGCGTGAGTTAAAAACAACACAGACACAGAAAGGGCAGTTATGAGACAGTCGATCTGGAAGCGCTGTCTCAGAGAAGAGCAGCGAGAAGCCAAAAACTACGACTCCTGGATAGCTCAGCTGTAGGGTGGGCAGAGGGAGCAACTGGGACAACTTTTTTCCAGGGAGAGCAATCTGCACGCAGTGTTGAGAAGCCAGGCCTGAGTCTGTGGGAGAAAAAACACCGCGAAGTCACGCTGGCAGGCGCGGAGCAGAGGCGTGTGCGGTACCGGGAGGTGCGGTGCCCAGCCCCGTGCCTCGGCACCACAAGGGTTTGCAGATTTGCACAAACAAATCCGTCTCTGGGGATGGCTGGGTGTGGGATCCGCTCCTCTGGAAAATGAAGCGTGCAGACCTGAAAATGGAAATCTTTCTGGGTGAGACAGCAAACAGCTGAGAGAGTTTTGTTCTTCGGGAACGGCCTCGGAAGCCTGCAGTCTGTCATATGAACAGCTTCATATTTTACTAGAAGAGTGTTTTTCCTTTGACCCCGCGTGGCAGAGCAGCCACAGAAGGCAGGAAGGGAGCTTCTACTCATTGCCATCCTGTTTTTCTTTTTCTCCCTCTGCTAATTTTGTGCCTCCTGGGCAGGACGGGGCGAGTGGCTGCAGCCAGGCAGATGCTGGGTGCGGGCACCCTCCAGCACCACGCTGCCTTCCGCCTCCTCCCGGGGCCGAGTTTCCCCATCCAAATGAGATTCATCACTTTAAAGCCACGATTTCTCTTCGTTCTTCAAATGGAAAACACAGAAGTCAAAGCCTTTGGCAGGTACTGCTGTGCTGGATAGGGCTTTGCGAGCAGGAGACCGCAAACAAGCGGAGAGAAGAGATGGAAAAGAGAAAGGAAATTCTGAGTAATTTTAGGAAGTCTTTCACCAAGCGGATGGCAAACAATGCGTGCCTGACCCTCTGCCTGTCTGCGGTACGAGGGCTCTGACAGCCAGCTTCCTGAGAGCGCAGTAAGCTGTTCATAAATCAAAAGCACCGAGACTATCAAATTTGTTTATTACTCGGGGTTGTGCCGCTCTGCTCAAGTTGAGGAGCTGTTTTGTTTCCTTTCTTCTAGCTGCGTTCCCGAAAAAGATTTGTTGGAACATAGCTGCACAGATCCCTTTATCCTTTTATTTTATTTTATTTTTATATTTTTTTTCCCCCAGAAGATACAGAGAGTGCCCTGGTGGAGCTGGTGGTGTTAATGTTCTGCAGCAGGAGTGAAATAGCCTGGAGATGTGCAGTGCGACATCAGGGGCGTGTGCCCTAAATAGGAGGGTTAACCAGGGCTTATTCAGGAGGAAGGCAGTAATTGCAGCTTGTGTGAAGCAGTAATATTCTTTTGTGCATTATTTACCCAGGAACATCTGCTAATACATATACATTCTATGGTGCATGTAAACAACCTGCGCGGGAAGAGGATTAGGAGATTTATAAAAAATTAGAAGCAAGTTAAAAGGGCAATTAGAAGAGCAGAAAGAGATATTGAGCAGTGAATTAGAGAGGATATTTTAACACACAATCAGAGCTTCCCGAGACGTATCCAGAGCAGAGAGAAGGTAAAAGAGAAAATTGGTCAATTACGACATGATAGCGGGGAATTGGTGACATGGGAGAAGGTAATGGCTGATTTGTTAAACAGTTATTTTGATTCTGTTTTCACAAAGGAGGAAGAGGATGGAGGGCAGCTCTGGAAAGGACTCGGGCTGTGCAGATGAGGCAGGGAAGAAGCCAAGGAGCCTGCGGAGAAACAAAGGCGCTTTTGCAGTGGGCATAGGCAGAATTTCACCCCCGTTCACAGGGTGGGGGAAAAAAATTGGATTTTTTTTTTTACTGGTGCTGAGCTAGGTGCCCAGGGGCTGGTGGTGCAGAGCTGGCTTTGGTCCTCCGGCTCCTGGTGCCAACTGGCTGCTTTTGAGCAGAGGCCAGGGACCGAGGTGGTCCTGGGGATGAAAAGTCCTTCTGCCTTTGGAGGCTGTTCCTCGGGGAGAGGGGAGGATGGGGAATATTGACAGACAGACAGACAGACAGATGGATGGGGACACAGAGGGGTGCTGCTCGTGGCACATCTTTTACATGGCTATGGAGCTGGTTGGGCTCTCCAGTGATGCTAGCGTGGCACCTCCCCAAAACCACAGTCATCTGTGTCTTTTTTTTTCATGTTTGTTGCTCTTCTCGCCCACCCCATACCCCCAACACGACAAGCACATCTCCGATCACTGCTCCCATCCATAGCCTGGTGTCAGCAGTCTCGTGTTTCACCAGGGAGAAAAGCAGATGGGAACTTGGGCATGGTGGTGGGGGGAGATGAGAGCAGGCAGAGAGGAATTGTGTCAGGCTACGAGACCTCAAGGAGACAGCAAGCTATGGAAAAGGGAAATATTCCTGGTCGTGCAATGGAAAACATGATCTTGGGAACTGTTTGTGGGGCTGGGCTTGAAACTGAGACAGGCAGAGCATGATGGAAAACGTCGGCAAAGGGAGAGCCGAGGGGAGGCTGCACCTGATGGACCACAAAAAAATGTTATGTTAGCTTAAAAGAAACGTGATGTTTTTGTTCTGCACTGCCCCTCTGAAAGGGGGAGGGGGTCTCAGAGCAATTTTCTGGGGCAAAGGAAGCAAAATGGTGACGTGGGGGCACACGGGAAGGTGTTGTCTGGGCAGCGGTGGAGAAGGTACCAGAAGCTGCAGAGGTGTGATGTCAGCTTAGCCTGGGGCACCAAACATTTATTCTCAGCATCCGAGAGGTGCTTGGTTTTCATCCTGCCTGGGAGGACAAGAGACGCAGTGTCATGTGCTTTGTGTTTTCAAAGCATGTAGGAAAAGCTCTGTATTAGCAATTACAGGATGAAACTGTGGAAAAGTGGTACAATGGATAGAAAATTGGCTCTGACTCAGGAAACGGGATTCTGCAGCCGTGAGCGAGTTTCCAGAGGCACAGTGTGGGGTCTCTTCTGGGTTCTCTTTCATTTATTTTATTTTTAATTTTTTTTTTTTATGGAAAGGATTTGCATGAACAGCCCAAAGTTAGAGCGTTAAAGCTCACCGACACAACCGAATAGAAAAGGGGAGGTGGGCATGCTGCAAGGGCCTCGTCTTGTCCCCAGCACAGCGAACAGAAAGGGAAGCAGTGCCTGGCCACGGCTCAGCCTGTCTGCCCGGACCCAGGGAGGGGAATCGTGGCCTGGCCAAAGGTTTGCTTGCCAAGGGAATCCCTTCTTTCCCCCTCACTATGAAGGGCTATGTCCAGGGAAGCACGGAGCGAGCTGCAAGCAGGGAGGATTTGGGTTTGTGCCCAAGGAGAAGCGCATCTGCCTCTTGCAAGAGCCTCAGCCCGGCTCTGGCTCCGTGGTTATCCCCTTGTCCAAAGGGACGCACGTTTTGGGGTTGCAGGAGTGCTGCTTGGGAGAAAAGGGGATTTCTTCCAGCCTCAGAGCAACATTCAAAATGCATGAAGACATGCTGTAGGAAAGGATCGTGAGGCACGCACGGGAGCCAAGCGGGGCCGTAGTGGAGCCGCACCACGCGGAGGGGAAGGTAGCTGTTGAGGCAAAGTGTCAGAGCATGCCATAAAAATTTAGTTTATCCTCAAAGAGCTGCAGTTGTCGAGGAAGAACGGGCGCAGGGAGGGGTGGTGGCAAAGGGAAGGCAGGAGGAACATCAGAAACCTGTAGTCTGTGTCAAGTGACACCTCCTATTTAGCGGTGTATCACGTCTCCCTTCTGGTTTTTAAACAGTAGCCTTTATTGCTAGGAGTTAGAGTGCTTGATTGACAAGGCTTGTAATACACCGTGGAGTTGCCTTTATTTTTCCTACATGTTAAAGGAAAAGATACTAAAAATACAATTATGGTTTTGAGCCAGGCGTAGTCTGTTCTAATATAATTCATCTCAAAGACTATCCATCGTGCCTGCTGCACCCAAATCATTTATAAAACATTAGCATCTCCTGTGCTGACATTTCACTCCTATATTACAGGAGTTATACAGAGACTTAAAAAAAAATTAATAAAGTGCTTCTCCTCTTCATTCTCCCTCAGAGAGCTTTGATTTCCAGAGTATGAAACGAAATAACCAACATAACAACATTCTCCACTTCTAAGGGACAGTGCCAGACTCATTCAGTTGCTATTGGTTATAGAGAGTAGGACGTGAGGGAGCTATTTCGGATCACGGATTATTTGTTCTGGCTGCATTGGACATCCCTTTAGTGGAGGTTTAGAGCCCTGTAGACGGAGAAGTTTGGATAGGAGTTGGAATAGAGAGGGCTTGATGAAGTAACCTCCCTTCCTCCTCCCCGAGTCCCTCCTGCTGTTCCCCAGGAGCTGTATTCCCACCCGGAGCATCCCACCCAGCCCGGCCCCACTTGTGGGGTGCTGTGCGAGGAGAGGGGCAGTGACACCGCTCCTCCCCAAGCACCCAGCTGCTCCTAATGAAGCATGGCAGGGAAAATTCCTCTTCTGCTTGGGAGCTTCCCTCTGCATTTCCAGATCCCTCCCAGGAGAGCTGGTGCTGTGGAAATGCCCCCTCCCCACTCGGGACCATTTTAGGGGCACAGGGAAGGAGATGTGGGCTTAACCATGTGGCACCCACACCATAGAATGGGACTTGTTCCCAGAGCCACTGGGAGCTGCATGCTGGAAAAGTGCCCCCCTCCCCAGCTGGGATATCGTAACAAAATGAAAAGCAGCCTTTTCTTGTCCAAGATCACTTTTATTTCCCTTGTTTCGTTAACCTCAGTGTCTGTTTTGTCTTGCATATCCACGCCGACAGGGAATTAACACCGACTGCAGAATTCAGGCAGCACCCGCGGGCTGCGCTGGGTGCCGCCGGCGGCTCTGCCGTGGCCACGAAGCAGGCCAGCGAGAGCATCCCGACCACCGAGCACATCCCGACCACCGAGCACATTCTGACCACCAAGCACATCCCAAACACCGAGCACATCCCGAACACCGAGTGCATCCCGACTACCGACCGCATCCCGAACACCGAGCGCGTTCCGAACACCGAGAACATCCCGACCTGGCATCGGCTGCGGGGCTTAACTCAGGACAAGAGGAATGCGCAGCCCTTCTTCCCATCCTTCAGCTGGCCACGACCCCTTCCCATGGCTTTCTTGGGCCTTCCTCTTGCCCACTGCGGACCAGAAACGCTGGGCACCGTGCTTCTCGCAGGTCCCGCGCTCCTTGCGCTTTCCCACTTCTCTTGGCTCTCCCCATGGCCTGACCCATCCCTTTTAAGAAAAAAAAAATTCCTGCTCCTGATGCTGTCAGGGCCACCTGCAGCCCACAAACCTGCTGCCCGAGTGAAAACCTTAGGCCAGCTATAAAGGTCCTCACACGACCGACACCTCTGGAAGCCCCCAGCCCCTCGCCGCCCCGGGGCTCGCGGCGCTTTCCCGAGGCAGAGCGCCGTGGCTGCGTGCATCGGGACCAGGCGCCGCTAATCCACCTCCCTCTCCCCCCTCTTACAAATTAGGACGTTAAGGGTGAGCTTTGGCTCTCTGTATATGGACTTTGTTGCATTGCATACTACCCCCCCAGACCCCTCCCAGAGTTTAGTGCTCTAAATTGCTAAGAACATTGGTCCCCCGCGCGCACTGAGGCTGCCGGATGGCTTTCAGCATCTGTAGGCACTGCTGCCGTTTGTGGTCTTGAGAAAAGGATATACTGTTCTGCTATAAATTCAACAATACAATCCTTAGTTCTGAAGATATAGTTTCCATATAGTTTATAAACATTATAAGACATACATATGGATAATTGAGGGGAAGGGGGCCTGTGCATTGGTTGGGTTTGCTTTTCAGATGTGTGAACACGGTTACAAAAAAACGCACCTCCTGGCAGGTACTTCGTTTCTTTAAGTTTGTTTTCTTTGTGTGTGTGGTTTTTTTTATTTTTTTATTTTTTTAATTATTCCACCTCTAACCAGTCTTTCCTTTGGTAGTTGGCTACTCCAAGCCCAGCAGGCAAGCCCTGTTCTGCTGTAATGCCTGAGATATTCAGGGTTTTGAGATTGTCTTCTAAGAGATTTCCAGCCAACTTTGGCCTGTGGGTTTGGAGCCAAAAGGGCTAAAACGTGGGAGAACCAATGTCCTTATTACAGGAGAATAAGTGTCCTTGCACTCACTTTCAGAGAAACAGTGTAGGCTTAATTGGTGATCGTTTTTTACAGCAATTATGTTCCTTGCGGTAATTGGCGGGGTCACTCGGCGCACTCTCAAATTAACAGGATTTCACAAGTTTCCAGTTGTCCGGCTGACGTTGCCGGCAGGCTGGCCGCCGTCCCCGTTATCCGGTTGTGTAAGGTTGGCTTTTTTTTTTTTTTTTTTTAATTTTTCTCCCGGTGCAGGGCTCGGCTGATGGTGCCACCGCGCGACAACGCCTTTCAACCCGCTCCTGCCGCCCGCGCCCGCTGCCGCCCGCGCCCGCAGGCCGCCGGCCTTCCCTCGGCGGGGCCCCGATTCTCCACGTCCAAAAAAAGAAGAAGAAAAGAAACTCTGGTCCGTTGTAGGTGGGTGGCAGTGCAGATCCGCTCCGCCGCAGCCGGGCTCAGCGCATGACGGCCGCGAGCAGCAGCACAAAAACCAGGCGCGAGGCCTCGAGGGCCGCGCTGCCGGCCGCCTGCTGCACCCCGCTGGGGGCGCGGATGGGCGTCCGCCGGGTGCACTTACCCTTGCGTCTCGGGGGGCCCGTGGGCATCACGCCGAAGCTGAATTTGTGCTGATAGTCGGGCACGTAGTCGTGGACCTCGTGCTCGCTTTTCCGCGGGCCCAGCGACCCCGGCTTAAGGGTTCGGTTGCGGCCTTTGTGGCTGGTGCAGTTCTTGCCGGGGCGGCGCGAGCCAGGCCGGGGCGCGGGCTGGCTGCTGTGCAAACCCTTCTCGGCCCCTCGCTCGCCGCCCTTCTCCTTGGAGGAGTGGTGGGGGTGGTGGGCTTTGGAGGCTCCTCTGTCTGCTGCCGAGAAAGTGTGTGTTTTGATCTGGTGGAGCGACTCCGAGCCCGAACAGTTCCTAAAGTCTTCGGCCCTCAGCACCTTTAGGTCCTTGCCGTGCATCCGCTCGGGGGACTCGCAGATGACGCTGGAGCTGGAGCCCTTGAAGCGGTGCAGCCACTCCCAGAGCGAGCGGGCCTTGCAGTCGCAGCTCCAGGGGTTCCCGTTCAGCCTGAGGAACTCCAGGGCTGCCAGGTGGGCCAGGCAGTCCCCCTGCAGCTCCGAGAGGCTGTTGTTGAAGAGGAACAGGGTGGTCAGTCGCCGGAGGTCGTGGAAAGCCCGCCTGTGAACCCACTGCAGCTGATTCTGATGGATGAGCAGCCTATCCAGGTTGATTAGTCCCCTGAACGTGTTCTGATGGAGGCTCCAGAGCTTGTTTCCATGGAGAAAAAGATGGCTGAGGTTAACCAAGTCAACAAAAATATCGTCCTGAAGGAACTCGATGTGGTTGTCTTGCAAGTAAAGGTATTGCAGGTTGTGGAGGCCGCCGAATATCCCACTGGGGAGAGAGCTCAGCCCGCACTTGTACAGATACAAGGCGTGGAGTTTCACCAGCCCTTGGAAAGTGTCCGCCGCCAAAGCCCTTAGGTAGCGGTTATCCCCCAGGTCCAGCTCCTCCAGGTTGACGAAGCCCTCGAAGGTGTTGGGGTCGATGAAGGTGATGTTGTTGGAGTAGATCCAGAGGGTGACCATGGAGGGGCTGAAGTGGCCCCGCAGCAGCAGGGTGATCTGGTTGTTCTGCAGGAAGATCCTCTCGCTGTCCTCGGGGATGCCCTCGGGGATGGTGACGAAGTTGTGGGCCTGGCAGCTGACGGTCATGGGCGAGGGGTAGCAGACGCAGTCGGTGGGGCAGCCTGCGGCCCCGTGGACCTTCAGCCCCAGCAGCACCAGCAGCAGCTCCGCGAGGGCCCCTGTTCAGAGAGAGGGGAGAGCGGCGTCAGGGGGGGGGCATCCCTCCTGCCGAAACCCGCGCCCGATTCACGCCGCTCGCGACCGAGCCGCGGAAACGGCTGCGACCGCAACGAGTGGGCTCACGGCACGCAGTGCTTTTTTGGGTGGGATCTATGGAAAGCTGCCTCCCTCCTCGCACCGCCTGCCTGAGTCACACTGCCGGCCGAGCCGGGCAGATGACGCTTTCTCAGGGGAATCATCGCTGGCGATGCACACAGCGCAGCCCGTGGCTGCAGGCAGGTGGGGCAGCCAGGGGGGCTCCTCTGATCCCTTTCTCAAACAGCCCATGCTTCTGGCACACAGCTGTTGAAATCCCCAGTGATTCACCCCAAAATATATCCGTGCTGCCTGCACGGCACGCCCCAGCCCTCCTGCAGGAGAGGGGCCGCTCTCCGTGCCCTCCCGTAGCCACAGCCGTGCCCCTCGTGGCCTGTTCGGCACCGGCACGTGCCCCAAGCAAGGAGCAACTCTCAGTTTAGAAGCGGGTGCTCAGGCATATTTTTTAAAAATAGGTGTCCTGTGGCAAAGCAGATTGCATCTCCTAATGCTACACGCAGGATGTGCCCGTGACCAGGGCGTGCTTGCTGCGGAGCACGAGAAGCGAGCAAGGCAGTGATCATCCCCTCCCTCGGCTCCGCTCGCAGCGCCGGCATCGCCGCCCAGTTCCCGGCGCGCTCCCACTCCTCGCACCATGCCTGCTTTCAGGCTATTCCTTCTGCGCGGAGCGGCTTTTCAGACTCATTGCACCAGCCTGTCATTTCTCATTCAGATTTCCTCCTAGATCTGCTTTCCCTCTTACACACAAAATTTGCTCATGTCTAATGAATTCTGCCTCTGGACTTCACGGGAGAAAGGAGGAAAACGAGAGCGGCGTGCAGCTGCCAGTGCCATCCTACCCCAGAGTCCCTGCACTGCGATTTGCTTGTAATAATCTGAAAAACAAGAGTGGAAGTGGAGTTCACCTCTAATTACTCCATGTCGTTACCACCAGATCGGCTGTGGTGCTGGACCCCTTGGGCTTTCACAGTCCCTCTTTTCAAGCGCCTACAGCTGAGTACGAGTGGGAGGCAAAAAGCCTCACTGGTTTTTTATTAATGTTGTTTGAAATATAACTCTCTCGTTGGCGTTGCCTTTTGCCTGGGACGGAGATCTGTTACTGGGTAGCTAACAGCAGGTGACCAGTCCATCTGGGTCCATTCTTTCAATGCAAATCCATCACGTTTTTAGATAAAACTGGGTTATTCAGACTCTCATAAATTACCGGGGAGAGAAAGTCGCCTCTGACCATACTGCTGTATTATTTTTTTTTTTCTAAGAAGAAGGCATCGGCAGCCAAAGTGTTGGACCAAGCCTGTGCTGGGATGGGGACGGGGGCTTCCTGCAGGCTCTGCCCTGCAGCAACGAAGTGCCGGCTGCGGGAGGGATGGCTCATCCCTGCGCCGCTGCCAGCACAGGGCTGGAGCCAGGAGCGCTTAATTCGCGACAACTCCTACGGCTGTGTAGGGAAAGGAACATTCTCCAAGTCACCGCCGTGGCGTTTTGGCTTCGCTGGCGTGCGTTCACGATGAGAAAGGGGCCGTGCTGGTGGCTCGGGCCAGCTCCTCACGGGGTGCCGGCTGCGGCTGCCCCGCGCTCCCCGCCGAGCAGGAGCCCTCGCCGCAGCTCCTGGCACACAGCCTCGGGAACAGCAGCCCCCCGGGGATGTTCTGATTACCCGATCCCCAGATAACAATCATCAGGATAAAGCTACACTCGCAGATAGGTGCAGAAACACTTTTGCTGTCTTTTTTTTTTTTTTCTTCTTCTTTTTACCCACGGAGGTGCTTTGCTGAGGTGGGACAGCTTTATATTCCCCGCTTCACCTCGGTGACACCGAACTACAAAGGCTGGTGTAGCTCTTATGTTTATTAGTAAAATCCTGCCAGGCACAGGCACGGTGACGATCTCCCACATGCAGAGTCTGTTATTGCAAATACCAAATCACAAGGGTCTGAATCAATAAACCATCTCCCAGCTATGAGCAGCAGGTTGGAAGATTACATATTGCTTCCAAACGCCGGTTTTATGCGCTGTTCCGTGACACGATAGTTGCCAGGCTAACAGGATTACCGGCGGGAGGAGGAGCCGGGCAGGGATCGCGTAGCATCCCAAATTTCACGTCTAGGCGGTGATGACAGGCGGCTGGTAGCGATGCCTGGTGATGGACCAAAGAGCCAGGGTATAAAACACCGCTGAAAAGGGAGCGTGGAGATTCTCAGCGCCCGACGGCTCCGGAGGAGAAGGTCAGAGGACGCTGAGCCCATCTCTTTCGTTATCTGGTGTTAATGATCCTGAGTTAATGGCTGAAGTTCATCTGGAAAAGGAGCCGATTCCTGCTGTTGGTGGTGGCAGTGGGGTGGTCGTTTCTGGTGTGCTGCTGGCTCTCCTCTTCCCAAGAGTATGATGGTGGGGAGAAAAGGGAAAAGGCAGGGGTTTCGTTCTGCCTACACACTGCATCCCAGGGATAAAGAGAATGTGGAAACAGGAAAAGGAAGGATGCTCAGAAAAAGTCATAATTAGGTGGGCAAAGAAAGGAAACCTCCTTGGTGGATGAGCTCAGGGCACATGGTCTCTTCAAGGATGAGGCTCTCCCAGCCCACAAAACCTGCCAATTGTCTCCTGCCATGAGAAGCTGCTCCGAGATGGCTGGGTTTTGGTCAAAGTTTAGATGTGGGGATGAGACGCCTTGAACCAGACAGCCGAGCTGGCCCCAGGAGGTCAATGGCCAAGGTGGCGGGGGGCACCTCGGTCTCTGCAGCCACCACCGGTGGGAGCATCCCCATGGGGACAATGCCCATGTCCTTTTTGTGCTTTGCTCCCCCAGAGTCCAATCCTGGCCGGCTCACCACGCTCGCTATTGCTGGCGCAAACCTCCTGACTGCATCTTGTAAAGGTTGCGAGGCAGGTGGAGGGGCACCGGCAGGCGCGGCGGCGCTCACCGGGGAGGGCGAGCTTCAAAAGCGGCACGGAAAAATCCTGCAGAAACCTGCCAGCCAAGTGAATAGAAGCAAGGCACTGCTGACACGGATAAAACCAGCACGGGGGTGTTTATCTCCTGGCGCTCTCCCACTGCCACGCGCTGTGTCACCCGGCTCGCGGTGTCCTTCTGCATCCTCCTGCTCCTGGCTGAGGCTTTAGTGATGGGAATGAATTCATCGAGCTGTCCAAACCATTTCCCATGCAGCATCTCTCTAATTGGGCATTAATTAGGCATTAGTTAATGAATGCTTGAAATAATTTATCTTTGGATGTGTCCAGTTCGCAGTCTTACTTTTAACAGCATTATACTCATTATTAGATTAACATCATTATAAATGTTCTCCATTACCTGCTTGTTTCCATTGTCTTAGCCTTATTACTGAGAGTGAAAATCACTCCTCCCGAATGCATTATTGATGAGTAAGGACTTTCTATATGCAGCGCGGGATTAATTGTTATACAGCGTAATGCATTTAGCGTGAAGCCTCAATTTGTGCAGGAGCTGAAACGGCCAGAAGAATGCAGACGCCCGGAGACAGCGCGCTCGTCCAGACGCAGCAAACCTCCCCGTGCCGCCCTGCCCTGCCCACCTTCCTCCCCACACCGGTGCCAGCACAGGAGGAGAAAGGAGAGGAGAAAGGCTGGGTTGGTACCTGGGATCACGGGGGCAGCTTCCAGTGGCTGCAGCACATCCCTCGGCACCACGGGGATGCTGGCTGCGGCTCGGCGCCGCGTACAGCCTGTCCCCACCGCACCGCAGGGCTGTACCTGTGCCGGGTGTTTTCTTGCATTGTAAGGGTTTTAATGCTTTGCTGCATCTCGCAGGGCTGTAGGGGTTTATTTAGAGATGCAACGCTGTGTATTTTCATTAGGAGTCCTCAGCTAGGACCTAGGAGAAGAAGGGATGCTCTGGCCCCGGCGGGGTCACTGGTGCACACGGAGCCCCCGAGGCGCAGCCCTCGCCCGCTGGCTTCGTTCGCTGCTTTTCTCAGCACCACGTTCTCGCCTCTCCACCCGGCAAGCTATGTGGGTCACGGCCCGCCTGGTTCTCCAGCAGGATCTGGTCTCTGGGATGGAGCAGGTTGCTTCTCTCTCAAATCTCTCCTAAAACGCCATCTGCTTGGGGAGCCCTATCTTAGCTCCTGTCTACACGCGACTTGTCCGACTGCTCGCTGTGTCCATTACCGGTTCTGCTCAGGCTGTTAGATTTATAAGCTCTTTAGAGCAAAGCCCTCGTCTTCTGGCTGCTGATTTATGGATCTTTACTGCCATAAAACACTATGTATAGCTGCTACATAATATAAATAATAATACTTAACCAGAGCAAGCTACAAGTGGGGACAAAGCATCTGGCTTCTGCTCGCAGTCTGTGTTATCAAAAAGGCAGGAGCTTGCTCATCACTCACACTCATCTGAGGCCAAATTCGCACCTGGTGCAACACCGCCCGTAGCTGTCAACCAGCCGCAGGGAGAGATCTTCCTGCCCCATTCACACCCCGTACCTATCAAAGGAGCCTTTCTAAATCAGCCCCGAGTGAACTGGGGCACACAGACACAGCTGCGACCCCGCGGGAAGATACACTTTGAAACTCGGGAACGAACTCGGAACGGGATGTTCACGCCACGACGGAGAGAAACTGTTGTTTTAGGGAGGAAAAGGAGCCTCGAATGGTCACAATTTCATATTCCAGCTGAAGGACGATGAAAGGCGAGGCCTGAGCAGAGACAGCCACTGGGTGCAAGCCAAGAGCGCAACTTCAGATCTGGGACGGTTTGACAAAGCAGTGTCAGACCCGTGGTTAGGAGCTGCCTATTTTTTTTTTTTTTTCCCCTCTCTCCCCCCCCCGCTCCCGTTGCTAAAATAAACAGAGGCTAAAATAAACAAGCCTGCCCTGACTGTCACGAAGGCCAAATTCCCCAGCGAGCAGCAGTTTGCTTTCAG